CAACATGCTCTTGATGGCCACAATGTATCAAGAACCAAAAGCAATGGTTATGATCCCAGAAGGAGTATTATACCAGAGATACAGCTGTACCGTCTGGACAACACGGTGAAACATAAATTACAGAGAAATAACTCAATTCCTACAAGAAGGACAGACCATGATGAACAACATTGTGTAGGTTCCTGCCTTAAGCCAGTCAGTTGACTTATTCATGACCTCCCACCCTGCTCACTAGGCAGAACATTATTTCTGCCATTCACCCTTTCGCCCCTACATCAATAGTTTTCCCTTTCTTCTAAACAGTGTTCTTCAAATACAAACATATTCTTTTCACCCATTTAAAATAACACACAAAACAACAAAAAACTGTCCTGTTCATAGAAGAAAAGAAGGTCAATTACAGAACCTGGGTGAGTTTAGAATTATAGGCACAATTCTAGGATGGCATATTAAAGATGGTCTGTGACCGATTAGGAGTTAGGGAGATTGCACGAGTAAGTCACATGACTTTGCTCCTTCCCTCCTAACTGGGTAAGTCATTGACTTGAATGAAAAAATGGTCAGTTTGGCTTAGGATCGAGAGACCTGGTTTCTAGGGGTAATGTGTAAGCTGCCCGAGATGCGAGTCCGCCACACAGGTTTGGCAGAACAGGGAGCCGTGGGTCCTAACAGTGAACGGATGAGAGGGCTTCTGAACGGTTCCCTAGAGTTGTTCATTGCTGGCCTGTAACAGCCCATCTTGGGGAGACAGGAGGGGCAGTTAGCCGCACGAGGAAGATTACGGCTGGGACACCACCAGCGGAAACCTAACAGTCTCTGACAGGGCAGATGATAAAATAGAGGAGGTGCTGTCATGAATGCTGGTAAAGGTAATTTTGTCACCATTGGCATGTCATCAAAAGAGCAGCTAACCATCTTGAGGGAGCTTACTTTTTTGCTAAAAACAGTTTTAAGAGACTGACATTTTCAAAACGAACCTATGAAGGAAGAACGATGATCTCCTTTGGCAAATGAGAAAATTGAGGCACAGAGAGGTTGAGTAACTGTTGGAGGTCATATGGCTAAAAACTGGAAAAGCTGCTATTCAAATTTAGGCCCCAGAGCCGGCCGTGAGCTAGTCTGGGTTCAGAGTTAGAAAAACACATGAACTCCAGAAGTGCTGAGTCACACAGGGATGTCAATCTCAAAGGACGTCTCGAGAGAGATGCCCCCCAAACTGTCGATTTAGCCCTGACCTGCTGAACATTTTAAAAAGTGTTATATATAAAGAAACTCAAAGATTGCTTATAAAATCAAGAATGACAGGAAATTCAAAGGAAGAGCTAAGATTTTTCTGATGACAGAAAGAATTCAAAAATATCTCAACAGACTAAAATGGTGAGCTAAAAATAACATTACATTTAATGGGTAAATGTGAGATCTTGAATTCGAGGTAAAAAAAAAAAAACCCGTACAAATACAGCATGAAAAAGATAAGGCTAATTTCAGCTATTTCTTCTTGCAACTGTTCCTTATTCCCTCCAGCCAACCAGTGGCCGTGTCCTATAATTTTATGCCCTTAATGTCTCAGGATCTGTCCCTCCCGGCCATTTCCCTGCCTGCCCTCTGACTCAGACACGCGCTACCTCCCTCTTCTACCTCCACACACTTGCCCGTCCAATCCAACTTATACAAGGCTCATAAAAATCCCCGTAAAGTGCAGGCCTGCACCTGCACTCCCCATGTCTCGCCTTCCCTGGCTCCCTGCTACCTAATTTAGCCAAGCTCCTTGAGCCTGGCGTTCAAAGATCCCACAACTTTGGCTCAGCCTTCCTTTCCAAAACCCCAAATTCATCATTGGTCTTCCTGCTCCCACCTCCTTGACCTCACTCTGCTTCCTTTCTTCCTTCAGCTCCTTAAGCCTAAATCCTGTCTAAGTCCCCTTCCCCCTTTACAAGGCCTACTTCACACCCTCCACCTGGCCTTTCTGGTCCTCCTTAGGTAATGTCTTCCTCCTGGAGCACCTTGCCATATTTTCTGCCATAAAATGATGCTGTGGATATATACATGTCCTATTTCTTTGTCCCCCATTGCTCTTTCTTTCCTCAACCAACAGTGTGAGCTCATGAAAGGTATAGCCTGTGACTGGCTGACTTCTCTGTCCCCACACTCTTACACACACGGTGCTCTGGGTCTGGAACATGCTTGGTCGATACCTGACAAATGCAACGACAGGACGGAACGAGCTGCACTGTGTTCAGCACGGGCCCCGCAGGAGGGAGGGAGTGGTGGTGCTGACGCACAACAGCACAACAGCGGCCCGCGCACTAGGCTGGCTCGGCGCGGAGCTCTCCCTGGCAAGCCAGGCAGGCCGGGCTAAGACTGGGATGCCGTACAGACCCAGGACTCAGCAGAAATGGCGAATATTCAGTCTGGGGACTGGGGTGCGGGTGACAGGGTGGGAAGGCAAAATGGACCATGACAGCCAACGTCACATATCTGAAGGGTTTCATGGATAAGGCTTAAAGTAATAGGGAATCACTCCAGAACACAGGACTACGTACAATGGATAGGGGACTATCATTTCAAAACAAGAAACTGCTCAGCAATAGGCAGTCTGCTTTGTGCATGTACAGAGCTTCCCATCACCTGACATGCTGAGAGGCAGGATCATAAAAGAGGAAAAGATCTACAATCAGAAAGATGCCAAGCTATACAAATTGAAAAAACTTCTAAAAGAAAATAGCAATAATATAAATGGCTTATAATTTATAATATAAATATGAAATACATTTATATAAACATAAATGGCAGGTTACGTACCATTTCCATTATAATTAAAATTCATCAGCACTGTTATTGGTTAAAATTATTGGCTGACCATAATTAAATATAAGCAAAAGAACATATGACTTGCTTTTTGGAAAGAAGCTGTTAAAATTCAATGGAGGTTAGATATAACAGTAAATTTAAAACAATGTTATTAAAATGCAACTGGCTTTAAAATATTTTTAATTTTTTAAATACTTAGTTTTAATATTTAAAATATGCGATTTGAGTCCATTTGGTTGATGTGACTGTGATACAATCACTTTGAAATCGGGTTTTGTGAAGCTGCAAATACCACTCTGTGGCCCAGAAATTCCAGTCTTGGAGACCTAAGCATGTGCAGTGGCTTTTAAAATTTGTATCTGTGTATCATTGAAAGGACTTTTGGAAAACAATATTCTTCTTTCCAAATTTAACAACTGGTATTTAATAATTCTCAGTATGAGCTTAAAATGGAAGCAAAGAATATATTTCCGGCATATCATAAATATTGACACTTTAAAATCACCACTCTCAGGGTGCCCGCTGGACTCTGATGCCATAAGGACCTGACGGCAACCACTGTACATTTGAAATACACATGAATAAGCTCTTCTTTGACGGTTGGGTATTTTTCATTTTTTCTCTTCAAACTATTATTTCTATTTTAGCTCTTCAGTGAATTTTATCCATTAGAAATACACATATATTTATGCTTGAAAGTAGTTTATTGATCACTCTGTTGTAGTGTTCTGCAGAAAAATTGTTCGTACAAATTAAAATCTAAAATATTTAAATTAAAGTTTTCTGTTACCTTAAGATTAAATTTTGACATATTTTGTTTGAATTGCTGTGATGGTTATTATTTAGTACACAACTGACTACAATGTTATTAATTTTAACCTAAATATGTTATAATTTTTCATGTGTCATTATTCAACAAATAAAGTAAAATATTATTGGAAGTGCATCTCTCAGTGAGATGGCTGGCCCTCTTTAACTGGTTGATGTACCTTTGGGTAAATATGACTTACCGCTGGAATAAGGGAGGGTAAGCAGTAATCTAAGTTGTATTCGTTGGCCAGATTCACCTTTCCTGACAGCTGCTCTGGGCTCACTTTAAGAACGCCTTATCATCTACTGTACAGCATCTAAATGTTCAAGTCTTATTTTTTAAGACCCTTTGTTACTTGGTCTTGCTTTTTCTATTGAATATTATCTCTTACTCCCTTCTACGAGGACATCTGTTCCATTCGAACTTCCTCCTCGTTGCCCTCTCTAAATATTAGGCAACCACGTTTGTGCTTCCTCTCTACTGCAATCTTTGCAACTTCCTAAACTGCATCCGTCTTTCTAAGGTTCAGCACATACCTTGTCGTCTGTGAAATCTTCCCAGACTCCAATTACCCTTTGTCTCCTTTATTCCTTCTGCTCTTCTATTCTGTTTTGTACAAGCAGTCCCTGATTATGAGCTGTACTTTACCTACCTATGCTTAATTACCATATACAATTTATTATTTTATTATACATTCTTTTCTCCCCTAATTGCTGTAGGTCTTGTCAACCAGACCATAATTTGTTCCGATTATTAGCTTTTTATGAGAAGTGCTATGATCTTTTCCAGAAGCTCAAAGAGATTTTTGAGCCCAGAGAGAAGAAATTAGAGGAAAAAACTACAGGTTTTCAAGTTCATAACAATGGTTTTTCATTTCCACTGATGCTAAAAACAGTGTAACTGCCTTTTCATGACAGCGGGAAGGCTATAGATCAAACATTAAGAGGAATACATTTGTAAGAAGTAAAAAGAAATCATATTATAGATTATTAAGAGTTACTATGAGTTTGAAATTGCTTTGCTTTAAAGATCTTTTAAAATCACACGAGGGACTCATCAAGTTCTGAAATTTCCTCAAGGACAGTGAATCTGACGACTCTCAGCCTTCATGAAAATCAAGGCTGACACCTCATCGAAGCCACCTGATGGCATTCCTCCGTGGCTCCATCCCTTTGTCCCTTCCATTCCCTTGGCGGGTATGACTCTAGAAGCCTCTGGGAGACTATCTCTGTGGCATGTGCTCTCATCAGGCCCCTTGACAAATCAGAGACGGTCCTTTCCCCTAAAGCTGTAAAGTTAGGCTCGGAAGCAATCTCACCAACCGGAACAACGGTCCGGTTCTAAAGAGACTGTGCTCGGGCCCTGAGAGAAGCTCTACCTGTAGGCCGCGGTGCAGGTGTCCTTGTACTCCTGAAGCTTCACGCACACCATGCTGAGGAACTGGTCCGAGTACGCACTCAGGTCATGCATCAGGTTCATGAGGTCCTGCACTGTCTTCTCCACGATGATGGTGCTCTGCAGAAGGACACGGAAACTCATGAGGTTTTGTGTTTTTACTCAATAACATGCAGGGCAAGGAAGGACAACTGAGATAATGCAATCGTATCAGACATTCGCGCTTTGCTGGGAGGAAAGGACTTTAAAAATATTGATTAAAAATGACAACAGAATAAGTATGTTACACAGAGCAGGTCTCCCAGAAATCTGAGAGTGTTTTCTGTGAAGGGCACAGGACAGGGGTTTTCAAATCGACTTCATGGAATTCTGGGCATTCATGGGGCATCTCTGTGGCTTTGCAGAAAGTAAGTAACTCGTCAGCTGGGGCCTCGTTTACCACCTCCGGGGCTCTACTTTGAGATGAGGGACCTATGACAGGCAGTGCAAGGAAAAGTCTTCCATGATTTGTTTTAAAAGTTTCAAAACCATCAGCCTATTAAGAATAACAACTAACAGTTGCTTCGTGACTTAGAGCTTGTAGAATGCTTGTGCATACACAGCATATGTTACCTCACTTGAGACTCATAATAATCATGATGGTCATGAACATTTATTGGGTCCTTAGAAGTACAAGGTACCATGCCAGGGCTCTATAAGCTTTACCTCATTTTAACCTCTCAACACGCCTACTTATCTGGTGTCTTGTAATCATCCCTAGTCTGAAGATGAAGAAACAGACTTAGAAAAAGGATGTCCCTTTTACCTACACCACTATGCCTCCCAGCTGGACCTGAGTTCTGCTTGTAGCCTCACTGTTTCTCCTGAGATCACAGTATTTCCTACTGTTTTTGCCAAGGCAGTAGAAGTGTCCAAATAGACTCAGACATACTTCAGAACTGAATGAGAGAAATCTCGAAAGAAAAAAATTAGCCCATGTTACAGCTACAGACAGAGGGTACGCTGCAGTAAATCACTGTTGTATTGAAAGAGAGGCGCACTGAGTAAATTCTCAGTCTTGAAGAAAAAACTAAGTTGTTTAAACCATTAGTTCATGCCTCCTTCAAAAGGAGAATTACATTGGGGTAAATATTAATCACATGCTTAGCAGCTTGGAGTCCTCTGGTCAATAAGTTATTTGCTGAATACATGTGTTGTGTATTCAGATAGAATTGCCTAAGCTGTGGTAGACTTGGCCATGAAGTAAACATTGACAAACATTTTTTTCCAGCCTGACAGTGACCGTGAAAGGATCAAAGGCATTTGATTACGCTTACATGCAGACTATGGGCATGGCATTTTGGTCATTTTTTTTCTCCTTTTAAAAAGAAAGAGAATGGATAAAAGTTTATAGCTTTTCTGTAAATAGGAAAATCGGTTGGAGTTGTGTGTTTACATGTGCATGTTTATTTGAGATTATTTGGTTCTAGAGGTTTCTTATCTTCTTTCCCTCTCTTGCCCTCACCCCATGGCCTCAAAGTAAAATAGACAGAAGGTGAAAAGGAAGAAACAGTTATATTTGTTAAGGCAAACCAAATTACCGTCTCTGTAGAATCCCCACAAGTTCAACTTCCCTTTCTGTATTGATTTTAAGATTAAAACACTGCAGCTTCACCCTGATCCATAATCCCGTTTCTCTGTATCTGTGCGTGAGTGACAGGAATTGATTCTGCTTAGCTACACGTCCCCACGCTGCTAAGAAGAATCTAAAATCCTCATCCTGATTCAGAACACAGGCTATCCTACAACATGTGGACAGAAATTAATAAAGGAGAGCAGAGTTCAGCCTTCCTAACAAAATCCAAACTGCTGCAGGGAAGGGGGGTGTGGGGAGATGGCTCAGATTATTGAGAGAAAGGGCCTGGCTCTATTTCCAATTATGCGATTGATAATCAACTTGGGGGCAGGTGTGGGTAGACTCTTCCTTTCTTATGACTCAATTTACTCTTCAAATAACCGAGGATAATTTGATGGCTTCTCTAATGCACTAGCCCCAGTCTCTCAAGTATTCAATCGGTGCACTGGCGCTTCTGCACTAGGAAATCAACGCTGTGTAATTAACTGTTCCAGGCCACGCTAGGAACATTAGATCATCACCTTCTCAAAAGCAAGACTGACTTCTTTTCCTTCTGTCCATCTCCCTTCCTCCCCCTCTGCCACTTGTTTACAATATCTCAGCGTCTTCATGCCAATACTGTCAATAAAAGAAACAACACTAATAAAGTTAATGCACATCAATGAAGCTCTCCGAATGTCATATATGTATGTGAGGGACGCCAGACAGACATCTCTGCATTTGGAAATCTCTGGGTGGATTCAGGTTGGTCTGGTTCTATCCCAGTTCTTCCGGAGGACTGACACTGTGCTGATGGCGGTCAGAGCCAAGGGGAGGCTGCAAGCAGGGGGTGTATCCGCCGGAGATGAAGGCTTGGGGTGAGCAGGAAGTACCCGCACAGGAAATGATTAGAAAGCCATGGTTTAATCTGAATGGTTGTGCTCAGCAAAGGGCCCGTGCGATGCTACATGATTACATACAATTTCCCAGCTATTTGGTTGGTTTACCTTGTCATGGTAGCTCTCTGGATAATCAATCACTGCATTCTCTTCAAGGAAAATGACACTGGTTTGCCAAATGATGGGTATTTTTAGGAGGGAAAAAAGTTCCCATTTTTCAAGAATCTATAACAATTTCCAAATCAGTGGCTCTGACAGAAAAATGTGGAAAGTATTAAATTTCTAAAAAGGTCAGTTCTGTTTTTATTTACGTGATCTCTTTGGCATTGCAAGGGAGTCACTGATTTATTATTATTTTGGGGATTTGCCAATGTTGAAATACTTCTAATAAGTAAACCCCTGATTTTTATGCATTATAATGTCTATTAAACCTATCATAAATGATTGATATTTGTTCAGAAACAACTCAATTTTCATTTCTTGCAACTTATTACCAGGTAATAAAGTCTGGGCATGACAAGAAAAATGAGAAAATAAGAAAAAAAATCCCAGAATAGTTGATGCTATGAAAAACAAACAGCTAAAGTTTCTTACAGGGATACAACATCAATCTAAAATACAAAGAGGGGGCGTGAGCAGCTCTTTCATCTGCACTTTCAAAAACTGAATGGCTGAATAAATGAAGATGATTGGATCTTTGAAGACTTGTCCATTTTTTTTTCCAAAATGGGGCTCTGCAGTGTGATACTGATAGTGATATTACAGAAAATTTGCTCTAAGTTCAAATAATTTGACAAATGCTGAGTTAAAGAAAACTGAAGTGGTTTCTTCATGGGAGGACTGGAAGCTTTCAATATGCTGATGTCACTGTGAATCTTAAAGAGGAGGCTGTGGTATTCAGACTTCCCCTAACAATGTAAGTAGAGAACATGTTTTCAGAGCCTATCTTTTCACACCTGCTGAACAGTGTTTCCAGCACATGGCGTGGAAACGACTCTGCCTAGTTCTCTGGTCACACTGATGAGGACACGAGGCTGAATGACATGCCTGAGGACACACCGGGAGTCCTTGTAAGAACAGGGTGAGAACCTAGTCTCTCTCTCAGTCCATGCCCTTTCCTACACGCCCAGCCTTTTTAGCTCTGGCTCCTGCCTACCACGCTAGCCTTCTCTCCCCTGGGCAGACCCACCCCTGTGCTCCAAACACACAAAGCTACGAGTCATACCTTGACGGCACTAGGCTACTTCTGCCTGTGCCTTTGAGCTTCCCAATGCCTGTGCCGGGCATGCCCTTCCTAGCTCATGCCTCTCATCCTTGAAGAGGCAGCTCAGGGGCTACTTGCCCTGATTTAAATGCCCTCTTCCGTGCTACCAGAGTGCCCTGGGCAAAATTTTAGCTCAAGCCCCAAGTGGGGTATGGCAACCACAGGTTCAGGGACCTGACTGTCGCTGCTGCTGCTAGAGTCAAAAACTCCTTTGATCAGAGACTGCACCTTCGTGTCTCTACTGCCAACCAGCAAGGTACCTGGCATATGGCAGATGCTCAATAAATGTTGGTCGGATGAATTAATGCAGCGGCATAAGCACATTCAGAACAGGGTAAAAACACAGGTTTAAGGTAAAGTTATGAAGCCGAATACTGGATTAAAGCCCTGATTTGGTAAGGTAGAATCAGACCACCTGCTCTTTGTTACTTTACTGTATCTTAATTCCCATAGTTCTAAAGACTGAACGTTTACTGTGACTAAAGATTTTAGATTTTTTTTTCTACAAAAGCATGCCTAATTTCACCTGACTGTATAATTTTCTATAATCCCATTCATTTTATATATTCAATAAAATGTGTTAATTTTAAAGGTTTTAAGACATATAATTAAATTTACAATTGAGGAAAAATAAACAACAAAATCTGGACTATGCTGACTCTGTATTTGTGCTGTTTTAGCCCCTGGAGCAGGAGGCTGATCAGAGATGCTGCAAAGAACCTCGGGTTCCGGAAACTGCTGAAGGGAGAATGAGAAAGAAAGCAAAAACAAATCATCCATCGCTCAGACTCACCTCCTGCCACCGCACACACACCAGTGACAGAGGAGGGAGGGGCTCCCTGAATGTTTGGTGATGACAATGTTTCTGTTTATCCGAACATATTCAACTATAATTCAGTAAAACTTGTCATACTACACTGTCCTTCCAATTACTATCAGCTCTAGGCTGTGGTTGGATGTAAACAATAATAACTGCAGTCTAATGGCAGTGATCACTTTGTAGTGTGTACAAATATTGAATTATAATGTTGCATACCTGAAAATTACATGTTATATACCAGTTTTACCTCAATTAGAAAACTAATACCTAGCAACGACTGATAACAAATATCAAAAGCAAATCTGCTTTCTGGCTTTTAATCTATATTTTGATTTGTGTGATGCTGAGAATGTTCTGAATGTGTCTGCTTGTTAAGTGAGCCAGCTGGGCAAAGGCTACGCGTCCAGGCGTTGGTGCCTGGAGAGCTGGCACCTCCCCTCCCCTCCAAGTCACCTCCACCTCACAAGCCAAGATGTGCTAGAAAGTTGTATCTCCCACAGAAACGACTGCTCACGTCCAGCAAAAGACACGAACACAATGCTC